GTGAGTGGAGCGAGAGAAAAAAATCAGGATTTGTTCTGCGCTTTTATGCTCAATTATCACGCGTAAAACCGCAATAATTCACCGGCTTTTTTGCGCGCGGATGCAGTCGATCTGACCTGAGATCTGTTCCGTCCTGCTCTATTTTTTCCGGTCTGATCCAGTTTTTCAGTTCAAACTGTTTCTGCAGCATGTCCATCCGTTTTCTGTCAGCTCGCGCGCTCAGGAACACATCTGCAGGCGCTCTCAGATCCAACAGACGCAGAGAGGCGCCCGCGCGGTGCTGCGTGCAGCGTTATGGAGACGAATCAGCATCAAACTCTCAGTTTAAGAATCAAAATTAAATTAGGCTGCATTTAATGCGATAATCTTCATTACAGTCCTTAATATTGAAGCTGAGTCAGACAATTCAATTAACAGGTTTTCAGAAGGCCTCTGGCTTCAGACTGATTTAGCTTTGGTTCGTTTTAGAGGAGATGTAAATGCAGACTGGGAATAAAACCTCTTTGCATCAGCTTTAATGTGCTTTTTCGCCTCTCAGAAAACATGTTCCACATCAATTCATAAAAATTATTACTTTAAAAAAAGGCATTAAAGGTGAATAAAATGCGCCCAAAAGTTCAATAACTCAAATCCAGCAGAAAGAAAACACGAAATAAAAGTCAGAGAATCATTTTGAAGCAATTAAGTCACAAAATAAAGAAAACAGGAAACCTAATTTTTCTTAATTCATAGAACAGATTTGAAATCAGTTCCAAAAAGAGAAAGTATAGTTTTGATATGGAGGAAACCGCGAATAAAACGAGAAACATCAAAATCAATAGACGCAAGAGGGAACAGAAGAGCAAAGATCTCAACTTTAAATATGAAATCATCGCATTAGAGTCTCCTCCGCTCTGATCTGGGATCAGCCTGTCCGTCACTGAGCGCAGCTAAAGAGAAGTTTAATGATGTTTTGACAGATCCCGGAGACTAAAGCCTCGCTTTTATGGCTCCATCGTGTCAGGCCGCAGAGATGAATCTCTTCAAAAGCTCGTGTGGGTCTTTTTAAACCCACTGTAAAGTTTTTATCACCTATTAACCCCGACATAGATCCGGTACACGGAGCTGTAAACAAGCCGCGCGCGGACTAAAATATTAACACACTTTTAATTAAATGTATTTATTTGATGTGAGAAATTAACTTTTAAAAGATTCGCTAATGTATCTTTTTGTTTATGTTTGTGTTACGTTTGGATTTTGGCGATTTTATTTTGGTTCGGAATTGTTTTATTATTTTAATTTGTGAATTTCTTTACATGATGCGAAAACTTTTCATTTTTAGTTAGTTAGTTAGTTAGGTTCCTGTAATTTTACTTGAAAACTTTATTTTATTTGTATGAGATTAAATAGTTATAATTGATGTTCAAAGTCATTTTTCTTTTTTATTTGATTTTTTTTCCAAATTAAAACAATCAGAGTAGAAAATGTTGTAAAACAAGCATATTAAATTGTTGCTTTACTTAGAAAAGCCTCTGAGGGGCTGGGGAGAGTAAAGGAGAGAGAGAGAGAGAGAGAGAGAGAGAGAGAGAGAGAGAGAGAGAGAGAGAGAGAGAGAGAGAGAGAGAGAGAGAGAGAGAGAGAGAGAGAGAGAGAGAGAGAGAGAGAGAGAGAGAGAGAGAGAGAGAGAGAGAGAGAGAGGGGGGGGGAGAGAGAGAGAGAGAGAGAGAGAGAGAGAGAGAGAGAGAGAGAGAGAGAGAGAGAGAGAGAGGAACTCTATGGGACTCGGATGTCAAACTTCTTTGTTTGCTTTTATTTCTCTGCTCACGCTGACCCCACAGATCAACCTCCTCCAACTCCTCACGTTTGGACCCAAAGACTTTCAGCTTTTCTTCCTTTTCTTTATTCCTTTCTCTTTCTTTTGACTTGAGCACAAATTAAAATCAATCAAGACTCACCCGACAACACAAAATATGTCCAAAACATATTGACTGGTGAGACGCTTTACTGAAATAATTCTTGTTACCATTTGAAATTTTGCCTCCTTCCTTTATCCAGACCATGTTTTATCCAATCAGAAAAGATCCCACGTATAACCAGACTCTCTGATTTCAAAGCTGTCGGCTCTAGCTGAGACATCCTGGGCTGACAGAGAGCAGGATGGCCGTCTAGTAAACATTTACATACGCTGGAGTCGCTGCAAACACGTTGTTTACACTGAACACGCTGCCAATCATGCTGTTGCATGAAATCAGCGGGGAAGCTTTCAGGAGAAAGGTTTAGAGAGCTGACAGATGGACCGAGACTCAAAGCGTGTAGGGGAAAGTGCAGAAAGAAGGGCGTAAAATAAAGCTGATATCAGTAAACACTAAAAGCAGCACCTTGGCCCTCCTGCCCTCATCTGTTTGATCAGCTAGAGTCGTCCTGCATGCAGCAGAGCAAATCCATTTGAAACACCTTCATGTCAAACGTCAGACTCTTTGCAACACTTGGCGTTAAACTGCACCTCCCAGACAAACCGAGTCACCTGAGGTGTGAAAGTCATAATCAGCCAGGATTGAGGCCGTTGTTACACATTTGCCCCAGTGACATAACCTGAAGACATCAAAAGCAGCTCTTTTCTACGCGTGTTTGTATTTCATGGGCCCGAGCGGTGCTTGGAGACACTTGGGTGTGATTTCAGGGCCTTGTGAGGTTATTTAGTTCCTTCATCACTCTCGACTCGCTGTAGCCTCAGATATCTGTGCAGATTGGTTGGAGCAGGGCATAATGGGAACCAGCCCAGACGACCGAGACACACTTCAGCAAGTCCATGACATGAGTGGAGGCGACAACGACTCGGGATCGTTTTACCGTTTAGCCGAAAGTTTGGCAGGATAATTTACATTAGGCTCTGCTTGCACGGCCGAGCGAGAGCTGGGGAAGTTCAGGACTCCCTTTGGTCTCTTTGTTACAGCGACATCTCTTCTGCAGAACCATGACGGCGCAAAAACAGCTCCATCAGTGTGAAGTAAGGTGACCTTTTGGATTTAAATGATAGAGGTCAAAGGTTTTATGTTTGGCTGCAGTGCTGGGGTTACGTTATGTCACACGTTTCAGGAGTGAAGTTTGTCCTTTTTGAGTTTTTTAGAAGGTCTGATGGTTTCCTAAGATAGGAATGTGTGGTTTTTTAAATTAATTATTAATTGTTCCATTAATTAACGGAATCACTCTTTGGTATTTTGCATGTCTGTATGAGAGTTTCCATTGGATGTTTTAATAGGTTCATAAAAAGCTGTGTGTGTTTCTGCTGATATTTGTCACTAATATTTATATATTTAACTAACTGTTGGTCATGATGTAGGGAGACAATTTTTGTTGATGGAAACTGGTAAATGTTATGTTCTCAAATGGCCGACGAACATCCAGATATTCTGTTTCTGAAAGCAGACATTTAATCTCTCCAGGTTGCGCTTTTTGTACCGTTGGCGTGGATTCTCAGTCATCCAGGACACGGCTGGATCCCGAGAGTTAAAAAAGAAGGAGGCTGGCTTTCCTTCATCTTGTTTCAGCTCTCATCCGAAGAAGGATTAAAAAAGAGAAACAACTATTTGCAAATCAATTTTCGTTCAATTGAAACTTAAAAACGATGGTCTTCCTTGTAGATTTGAAGCAATCTGTTCTCATCTCAAAACAAAAACCCGAGGCCGAGAAATCGTTCGTCCCGCTCAAGAGGGACACACGTGGAACTGAGCTGTTGGGAGGAGAAATGAGAAACACAAAGATACACACGACGAGATAAAGGTTGCAAAATTATGTTTTAAAGCTTTTAAAGGAAGTGAGATGCTGTTCCACGTTCCCAGCGGTGCAGGAATCAGCCGACTGATAAATGCAACATTTGCTTGTGTTTCTTCCTAAAAGTCTCAACATTTTAACAGGTGATAAAAGTCAGTTTTGTTTGTTTTTCCTGTTTTTGCCGCCCTCGGGTGGCTAAAAAAACAGATTTCAGGCCACAACTCACAAAATTTTGCTGGGCCAGACTCATTCGCAGCTTATAATCTGACAGATTGCACATGTAATTGTCAACTCTAGCATTTGTCAGTAGAAGATGACAATCATTTAAAACTGTAGCATGAACGGTAGAATCTCATGTAATTAAGTTCTGGGCTCTCTTGCTGAGATGATTCTTATTTTGTGTCACTGCAGTCCAACAAAAGCACAGATCAACAGCAAAAACAACAACACGCCCTTCATGCATGTATTTCCTCTTCACCTCTTTTTTCACTGCTCCTTTTTGTCCTTCCACGTCAGATATTTCTGTTTCTGCTCCACCGACATGTTATTAATCTCCCTCCGTCGCCGTGTGCTGTGTGATGGATGGTGTTTCCTTTTGACGCAGAGAGCTGACCCCATCCAACCCGGCCGATAAAGATTCAGGGAAGGTGCCCTGTCGCTTTACAGCCAGTTAAACTGCACTTTGATGTTGCCTCCTCATTCTCAAACGAGCAGCAGTAATAGCTGTCCGCTGACGGCCTGACTCAGATTAATAGTCTGATAATTTCATAGTCTTGAAGTCATTCCCCTTTTGAGACAGCGCTGAAGTGTTGCATGTGAAAGGAAGTTTGATTTTCTGTCCGTTTTGTTCGTCGGAACTTCTGTGTGCACACACGGAGCTGCAGACACGTCCATCATCACGGTGCACACTATTGGAGCAGCTGCGCTGTGCAGTATTCTCTGCGAAAACATGACTTGTTAATGTGCTGCAGATGATTCCCTCCGCGGGAGGTGAGTCCAACTCGGCTTACCTTGAGCAGATTTTAAAGGCAGGAGATTTTCACAGCATCCCGTCGCTGCCAAGGAAAGCCCCGGCGATAGCGTTCGAACAAAAGTCTTTGATCAGTGACAGGCTGCGTGATTCCAAACAGCCCGAAGGCCTTGAGAGTGCCAGTGAAGTGAATATGATTCAACAACTGTAGGACACTTGTGCTGGATGAAACCTATTTGCTCCCTTCAGGCGCAATAGGATGTGTAAGTTAGAAACAGCA